AGGTTTTTTTTTCAATATTTCCGAAATCATTTTGAAAAAAATTTCAAAATTTGCTACAGATGATAACTTTTATACACCTATAAACAAGTACAAAAATAAAATGTTGAAATTTTTAATTAGGTGCTTCCTAAACTAGATGGGATTAGGGTAAAAATTTACTCTAACTATTTTGTCTGTGGTTTCTTGCCACTTTCAGCAACAAAATTTCATAGTTTTTCATAAAAAAAGGTCTTTTGTGTTTTTCCGATACAATTTACGGATTTTTAGTAAAAATCGGTTTAATAATTTATGTTACAGACCATAAAAATTAAAAATTAAATTTGTTTTACCGTTTAGGACGCTCCTGATTAAAAATTTTGTTATTTGGCATTTGTTTGGGTGTACATATAAAGGTACCAAATTTTATTATTTTATGTATTCTATAATATTAGGAAAAACCCTTTAAAACACGTACCTTTTTTAGAGGGTGTAGCTCCTTTTCATAGCATTTTTCAAAACACTTTTATCTTAAAATTAAATATTCTATTAACTATTTAAATTTGTACCTAACAATAAAAATGAAACACTGTATAATTAACACATAAAAAATTAATTCACAAAAATTTAAAATTAACTCATTAAAATAACAAAAAAACCTAAATTTTTAACACTTATAACACTATATAACAAAGTGTTCAGCATTTCGGGGGGGGGTTTGAACCCCCTAACCCCCCCCCTGGGTACGGCCCTGATATGAAGCAATATTTAAACCTCAAAAATGACGATGTTAATTTAAATAATAACTCGTGTCCTATCTCTACTGATAAGAATTTTACAGCCCTCGGAATGTGGGTATGGAAATTTGTGTTTTTTTGTAATAACTTCGGAACATTTGACCAAATATACAGAATGGTCCAGAAGTCTGGAAACGCTTATTTTCTAGCGAAACTATCAATTTTTTGGCAAAAAAAATATAGGCGTACAATGGCTATAAAATTGCTATTTCAAAAAAAATTGAATATGAATTAATTATTTATACGTACGACATAAACATACCAACAATTTTTTTTAAATGGAAGCCTACCACAATTTTTTTCTAGACAACGAGCTTGTTACAAGAATTGTTGCGGTGCAAAACTTTTTTTTTGTAAACATAACACTTTTTGTTAAAAAAATGTTTGACTTACAAATATTAAAGAATTTTTTTTAATAAAGTACCCGTTTTTTTTTTTTAAATAAATTGATAAATGTTTAAAGGATGTAAAGAAGCGATGCTAAAATAAAATAAATATTAAATAAAAATTTATTTTAATTAATTGTTTAAACGTGCCACCCCTTGGCTGGTGGAAGAAAGTTTTGACAACAGATAATTTTGCATTTTGCTTATAATCCGAGCCTTATTTATGAGTAACCCTATGTAACAAGAAAAATCTGTGTAATTTAAAATAGATATTGCTGTATAATCTTATTGTGGTGCGGAAAAAACATTAAAAACTAGTGTAATTTGTTCTTACAAAATTCACCGTCGAAAATGGGGAGTTTTATTATTTTTTGGGTAAAATGTTCATATTTCCACCGCTGTAACTCGTTACACATTAGACTTACAAAAAAAATGTTGAAACAAAAAATGTGAGGAATTTTGTCAAAACTATGAAGTGACTTTTTGCTTTTATTGTGTTGGATACGATTTTTTTATTTGTTGCAACAATACAATTTTATCTGAACAAGGAAATAATTCCAGTGACCCTCAAACCGTGTACAGTTGCGGAATTAAAATTTCGGGCAGTATTTTTCTGTAACTTTAAAAAGTTCTCTGTAAACTACCTTTTACTGTCATCATGACTGACATTTGACTTATTTTTGTTTGTTAAAATTGTTAATTAAACAATTACAACTTTCTTAGTAAATTTATTAATTGAACTAAGTGTAATTAAATCTTTGCTTTGATCTGCTGCCTACCCGTTATTATGCCACAAATTACTATTTTTAAAAGTAAGTAAATAAGTCAAAATGACATAACAACAGTAAAAACATGACAAGAGTAAAAAATGAGGTTAATAATGCAAAATTGTTTTAGAGTTTACATTATGAAAATGACAATAACAATACTGCCCGAAATTTTAATTCCGCAACTGTACCAATTTTTTGGAATTATTAACATTCTTAATAGTAACAATTGTGTGAGTTTTTGTACTCGGTTACAGTATTTCTGTGCTCTCCTATTACTAGGTCAATTTTCAATTCCAATACTGTAAACACCTTGTATATTTTTTGGCACGAATATTTACTCTCGCGTGTTATGTAAACACAAGGCTTGTTTTTTATTTCTTTAACATTTTTAAAACGAGTATTTTTTTAATTGATTTAATTAATAAATACACCATCAATCAAAATATTATTTTGGGCAATTTTATATTCTAGTTGGCTAAATTTTTCCTAATATTGTGTTTGAATGTTAACAAAATTTTGTTCAACTTATTTATTATTGCCAGGAAGCAGGAAGTAAATAAAGAAGCATTTTGAATATTTTTTGTAAAATAAAAAAATCAAGTTGTAGCTTTGCATGTGTAAATATGTTAATAGGTAACAAAAAAAGCCAAAACAACAAAACTTGACTCATTTGAATGATTATGTTTTCTGAGAAGAAAAATTTTCGGAAATATTGTTAAAAAACCCAAAGTTTACATTGCTAGTTGTCGATAACATTTAGAGTAAAATCTTCAAAAAAAAATGAATGAAAATTTTTTACTCTGGTATTTTTTATATGACACTTTTTCTGTGCCTGTTTTTCTCATTTTACCTCAATTTGTTTCAAACAATGTAATAGATTGTAAAAAGCTAACCTTAGAGATTCAATTTGAGTTGGCGAAGTCAAAGGCTGCCCCCAAATTTAAAATTCGTTAAAAAAACCCTCTATCTCTCAAAAACTATAAACATTCGTACAAAACAAGTTGAGTTACTTTGATTTATTTTGAGCTCTACTATCACCTGTTAAAAGATTTCCACATTTTTTAAAAGTGCCCTGTATATTATAGACAGTATTTTTGGATTATCTACAACGGTTATTATTAAAATATTTAGATGCGTGTCCTCTATTTTTATCAAGGAATCAATAACGAAAACAACATTTTTTTCTCGTATTTGACTATCTGATACAAAACTTATAATTTGATATAGGGTTACAATTTAGGATACCGCTTCCTTGCTTCCTCTTCTAATAACCAAAAAAACTTGGAAAACTATTTTTCCAACAGAAATAGAGTCATAGTGCAAAATTTAAACTCTCATAACTTCGAAATTTTTATAGATAGAATTTTTTCCATGTTCCTGATATCTTACATTTTTCTATGGGGCGGGAGTTCTGGCGCACCTGTATAATAAAACATTAAGAAAAGGAATTTAAAATATTTATAAAAAAGATATTAAGTTCACTGACTCGTAGTTATGTTTTTTTTTTATTGAAATCCACTTACATACTAAGTAGAATTCTATTTTAAATATCATTTAAACAAACTTTTATAAAGTTAATAATTTTAATAAAAAAAAAAAATTTGGTGGATTTATTGAATTGTGTAAAGTATTACTTAATTCTATATTATAGGGGAAGCACTTGATCTTTAGACCACATAGCCTTATAGGCAACCAAGCAAACAGAAGTGTATGCGAAATTATTTCCTGGTCTTTACAATTTTTTTCGTGTCTTTAGGGGAAACTCAACGTTTTTAGCATTAAAAAATATAAAAATTTAAGGGAAAAAAGACAATTTGAGTGGAAATTACTCACAAAATTTTACATAATAATGATACCAATATCAAGATTGTAAAGATAAATCCAGGAGAAATTTCAAATTTCCAAGTCTTATTAGGCGATTTTGTTCATTTAAGTCTAATTATGTATTTGAGAATAGTTTATAAAAAGCAGAAAAAATTGTTACAAACTACACTTCGTATTATCTCATCTTTTCAAAATTAAGTCCTTAATTTTACGACCTACATTAATTTAGTTCCTTAATAAGATATACCTTGTAACCATGAATATCATCAATTTGCCAAATTTTTATAGTCAGTATTACACACTATATTTAAGAAATTTGTTTAAAAAGCATGGACGTTTGTACACCTATAAAAATGAATTTTTGATTGTTTCTTTGAGAAGCGCATCTGTATTTTTATGTAGTAGGTGGACAAATATTAAGAATAATTGACGTGCTCATAAACGTCCAATTTTCTTTTTCCGTTTATGAAGCACATCTAACATCGAAGACATGTAAAAATAAAAAAAGGTAATATTCGATATTTTGAAAGCTGTTCCTGCTATCAAATTACATCTAGGATCTACATATTACGCAGTGTAGCGAATATTTACACTCGACATTTAAAGCACTAAACCTAATTGACTTAGTTTCGTACACGAAGGGTCGCTGAAGTGTAATACGGGTCAAATTTAATCTAATCTTCGAGTTACTGTCGCTATTACATTTGATTTGACACAAGTTCTGAATCTTTTGCATGGTTGTGTCGTATCGTAAAAAATTCTTTTAGTCTACGTTGATTCAAAAATGAATATTCATCTGTTTGGTCATTTAAGTGCAGTGTTTTTAACTGTGCTAAACGTAAAATGTTACTATTACGAAGAACAAAAACCTATTTATTTAACCGCATCAGTGGGTGATTATGTGATTTTTAACTGCAACGTTGATTTCCCACAAAGCATTCCCATCCCCTACATGCTTAACTGGAGAAAAGATGTGAGTTTTTTATAAATTGTCAAATACTTGCGCTATAAATTGGAAACTCAAGTGCAATTATTCCAGAATAAAATAAAAACACAAGAGGCTCATTGCACAGTTTTTCATTGATTTTACAATTTCTATTAAATTCTTACAGAATTTATTTGGTTAAATTAACACAATTACACTCAATTAACAAACTTAATAAGTGACTAATTAAAAAAAATAAATATTAATGACCATAAAAGTTGCTATTAAAGTCACACTCCAAAAAATTTAAAAAAAATTTTGATGTTTTTTGAAAGAAAAAAAAAATCATTTGGAAGCTTTAAGTTTCTAGTTTTGAGATTTTTTGGCAACAATTTTTTCTGTGCTACGCAATCCTAAGTAATATCGTGAGAAAATATTTTTTTTACTTAAGTCATAGGCTGGATAGCATGTTCGTTCACTTTTAATACGCTTTTTTCATATTCTCTTTACGTCAATTTGTCGCTAAGATATCTGACTTTAAATGAAAAAGGATCCTTTTGTCCTTGATCATCGATACCCCAGCAACCAATGACCACAAAGAGAACATAAGTCTTACAAGATCTTTTTATAATTTTTTGAATTTTTTTTTTGAAACAACATTGGTTACAGGAAAGAGGAAAAAGTAACTTTTTGCGTTTTTCTCGGACCGATTGATCAAAGTTTTGCAAAAAATTAAAGGAACAATTGCTCATATTGTTTCCGAATATTGTCTAATCTTCATCAAAATAAGAAAAACTTTTTTTTCTTTGTTTACAATTTTGCAGTTATTTCCTAAAAGTAAAAAAAAATAAACAAACATTTTTTTTGAAAATTAGGAAAT